ATGGTACCTTGAAACTGGCTGGATCGGGGAAGTTGAGAAAGTGGAAAGTGAAGAAGATGATTTTGATGCAGACATAGATGAAAAAGACCATCAAAAGCAGGCGCCGTCGGTTCCCTGAGGCCTCGCTGAACAGGCTGATCCTAGACTCGGCGCAGTCTTCGATCATCTGGATCTTGATGAGACTGGCCTTGCGCATCATCTTGCGGCCACGAGGCAAGACGGCAACCAAAGAGATGAAAAAAATAGACTAAGCTGCATTTGGAGGAGGAAAAGCTATTTTCATGTTGCATTTATAAAGAAAAACCGCGAGTTATCATTTTGACATATGACAATTTCATTTTTAGTCAAAGTGTGTAGGGAAGAGAATCATAGGTCCATCTCACCAGATGAGATTAAAATGTACATATCGGTCGGATGTAGTTTGGTTGTACTCGGGAGTTTAGGGAAACGCCCTACTCGAGGCACCCTTCACCAATTGAGATTGCAGCTGGCTACGTTTTCATCTGTCAACCGCAAGTTAAGAAAACCATCCGGCTAGCTGACCACTTCAACACAGAAACTAAGTCACTAACCACAATATCGTGGTCTGCATACCTTCCGCACTCTGCCTACTCATAAATCAACTCAATTAATGCTAGATCTAGGACGACTTACTTGCATCCTTGTGATACAGATAATAATTGATGTACATTTATTTGTGAGTGTGTTTGTGGCTATGTGTGTAATTATGAACATTTGAATCTAAAGAGAGAGAAGAAGAGAATAAACTTTAAAACAATAATTTATTTTATAAAAGTGGGTTGACCTCGTTGTCGCAACTCGGTCTTGTTGTCAGGGCGACTTAATAGAAGGCGCCTAGTCCGAAGTCGTCTGCCATAGTAGTTGTCATGATTCCCAGCATCAGACAGTGGACTTGGTACATTCCAGATGTGTTCGCCGGCATCGTAGTCGGCATCATCAGTGAGTTTTGCCATTCGCCGCACCAAGCTACGAACTCGTCAACCGGCATCACATTCGGCATCATCAGTCAGTTTTGCCATTCTCCGCACCGAGCTACGAACAAATGAAGTCAATCCCTCGACAAACGTTCTGACAAAACTGGCTGATGATGCCGACTACGATTCCGGCGAAACGTTAGAGAATGTACCAAGTCCACTGTCAGAGGCTGGGAATCGTGACAACTACTATGGCAGACGTCTTCGGACTAGGTGCGTT